ATATTATTAAACCAAATATAAATTACTTCGTTATTGTACATAAATTAAATTATAAAAAAATTGGATTAATAAATTACACAAAAAAATGAGAAATTTCAAATAGTTAATTTGATACTAATATCGATATATTTTTGTCAAATTTTTATGATATCGTCAAACATATATTTTATTCAAAAATAAAAACATTATCGCTTTCTCAAAATCACATAAATCCATATTATAATATCGACTGAGATAAAGAATAAAATGAAATATTAAACACACGATGTATCTCGCTGCATTGCGCGAGTACGCTTCTAGTTATTAATGAAAGCTTTTGTTTCAAAAATAAATATTAATTTTAAGAGTTTTGATTGTTGCATTTCATTATAAACTGAATATATATTAATTTTTAAGTTTTTAATGAACTTAAATTTTATCTATCTATACTATATTATAAAACATTTGACAAAAACTTTTATAAATCACTTTTTATGCATGAAGTACTGTTTATTGATGCATATTACTTAAAATTTCAAGATTACAAGTAAATTGTATATAAATACAATTTATTAAAGCTTTTTGTTTGAATTCGTGTACCTGACTGTAGATAAATATAATCAAATTGAGGATAAACATCTTATTTTAAAATATAATTAGGATAATTATTGAGTTATAACAGAATACTTAATTATTATCTTTATAAAAAAAATATTATTGAACCTAAATTAAGTTAAATTTAAATTATAATAAAAAAATTGAACTAAGAAAATATACAAACAATAACTTTTAAATAGTTAATTTGATACTAATATTGATATAGTTTTTGTAAATTTTATATGATATTTTCAAATTTATATTTTATTTAAAAATAAAAACATTATCGTTTTCTCAAAACCACATAAAATCGTATTTATATCGACATGGATAAAAAATAAAACGAATTGAAATGAAAATGTATCTCGATGCATTGCACGAGTACCATTTTAGTTCAACTTAATTTAGAAAGTAATTAATTTTTAAATAATTTAAAACCCGATATCGTATTTTATTAGAACTTATAACTAACTTTTATATCTTAAAAGACCATAAGGTATTTGATTAACAAAGAAATATATAATGAGAATAAAAGGGTGTTTGGGATTGCTTATAAAAGCTGTTTTTTAACTTATTTCAGTCTGACAACGGTGATAAGCTGTTTTCTGGTGTTTGGATAAGAAAAAAAATTTGTTTATACCGGTGTCAAACCTGTAATAAGCTGTTTTTGATAAGTTAATCTCTCCTGACTTATGAAAAACTGTTTATTACCAGTTTACAATTTTAACCATGTTTTATTTAACTCTGATTTAATACCACATAAGTTAATAAACACTTCTATAAAAAACATAAGTTGTTTTAAATAAGCAATCCCAAACACCCCCTAAAGATGAAAATGGTTATAATATAGTTTAAAAAAGTTGTACCTATATTCCATTTACTTATAATATGGTTTTGTTTGGTTGAATTTACAAGTAAATGATACATAGGTACAAACTTTTTAAAACCAAACAAAACCGTAAATATCGTCTTTAAGATTCGGCTAAAAACAAATTAAACGAATTCGTGAGGTGTTTGTCTTCTTGTGCTGATGTTGTTCGGGCTCGGCTTGTCTGGAACCTCCCTTAGCTGTTTGTCTTCTTGTGCTGTTTTTTTGGTCTCATGAGCTCTTTTGCTCTCTTTGTTTTCTTGGTGCGGTCCAGGGTGTGCCTGTCTTAAGCCCCTTTTCTTGTCTTTGTGATTCCCCCGTTGTTTTCCGGTCTTGGTTTGGTTGAACCCTTCCCTTGTAGTTGATTTTTTTTTCTCTCTCTCTTCTCCCCCCACTTCCCTTCCTCTCTTTCCCCTCGGGGTGTCTTGGTTATTCCGATGGATGTGGTTCGCCCCCACCCAAACGTATATTTGGCTTACTTTTAATGTTTTTTCTTAATCTGAAGGGGTCTCCTCCCTCCCTGTAAAAAAAAAATTATTGGTCCTATACATTGAAGGTGACATTACTGATGAGATGAAAAATCACAAAACGGAAATAGGGTTACACTTGCATTATAAAAGTGGGCCGTATACAGTCAATCACGTCAGTTGATATTGGACGACTGAGATTAAAAGGGCATGCACCTGGAATATCTCCACACGATACCAACCCTATATAACGCTTTGCATAGGCAGCCCCTCTCTTTAAATCGCTCTTTTTCCGTCCACAACTCAAAACCCTAAACACCGTCTCTCTCTTTCTTTCCCAACCAAGCCAGCGGTCGGTAAGTCTTTCGAAATTTCTGTTTGTTTATGATCATCATTTTTGATTATTTCACTGTACACATGTTATGATACTTCTGGATTATGTTGTTTTGTGTTGAACTTATGATTCTGCGGATTAATCATGGATCTCAGCTGTATCTGTTGAGAAATCTAGATAACTTTCTCTTGTTTTTCGGATGATCAATGATGTTAGTTGAGATTCGAAATGATGGTAATCTGAATCTGACACGGCTGTTTGGTTTACCTACCGTTTTTACATTTTTACGGATTTTTTTTTGTTATTCGTGATTGTTGAGTTTAGGTATTTGGAGCTCCAAGTAGTTGCTGTTGTGAAAAATTATACTGCTAATTGCTAAAATGCCTGGAAATCTAGGTTATAAGGCTGATTTTATCCTCAGATCTATTTGAGTTTGTAGTTCTAAGTTCTCTTAAAGTTCATCCGTATCGGTAGTAATTGTAATCGGCATTTGTTTGTTGATAGTATGGTGATGTAGGCCGTTTCAATACTGATAACAGGTGCATCTGATGGAGTTAGTCGATAAATGTGAAGCTCATATGAATCTAACAACATTGTGAAAGGACTAGCAAACAGTTTTATCTAGTTTAGTTTGGCACTGCACATATGAACTTTCTTATTATGTGGATTGACTTCAATTTGTGGATTGAATAGGGAACCATTATTCAATCTTCTGAATCATGAATCAAATTCAATTTTCTAAAAATACTATGTATAATATGCATATATACATTGCACACAAATTAAGCAGTCAGGTGATGTATAAACCAGACTATACTATTATAATGAGAGGTTTTGTTCCCTAATTCTATCCACACTGTTTGCTTCAAGAATTGTGAACCATTCTAGTTCTGACCTCTGCTTTTACTGGCGGATGCATAGCAAGCCCATAGGGGGCACAGGCCCCCAACAAACCACCTAGGAACCCACAAGAAGAGCATCACTTGTAACTTTAAATATATTTTTTAATCTAAAATTACAAATAGGCCCCCAATAATTAAAAGGTAAATCCCCAAATCTAATCCCTATCATTTTATTTACATCTTCCATTTTATTTCATTTGAGAGAGTTACCAATGTAAGAATCAATTAAACTCTAATGTCCCTAATTTCTAAGTCTTAAATCATTGAAAGTCATTTTATTTGTCTTGTTTTATTTGCTATAATTCTAATAATTTGATCCATCATTATTTTTTTGTTTTTTTTCCAACTTTTGTTTTTGCATTTTATTTTTTATAGATTTATAATTATTGTTATTTGTTGATTATTAATCTTCTATTTCTTGATATTTGATTTAGGGTTCTTGAGTTTGTTCTTTAATTTGAGTTTGTTATTTTGATATAGGGTTTACTACTAGCTTATCTTTTATTTATAGCATATTGGTCTTTTGCTCTCTAATTTCTTCTAATTGAATATAATTTCTTGCCCTCTGATTTCTTGTTATTGACTATTAATGTGTATTGTGTTCATTTGTTTTAAGTTGGACCGAAATAAATATATATGTACAATGTCTCTGTTTATCTGAAATAGTAAAAATTAATCAAAAAACGGAAAAAAATTATATTTATTTGATTAAACTGAACAGTTTAAACCGAATAACCCAAAATCGTCTTGGTTTGGATGAGTTATTTGGTTTCAGAATATTTTTTGACACCCCAACTCCCTAAGTTTGCCCCCAATAATAAAATTTTCTGGATCCGCCACTTTTACAATGCTGTAGTAGAAATTATGTTGGATCATAAATTGTGAATCACACTTGCTCTCATAACTTGTTTCCATGGTCATTTTTTATTTATTTTATGGGTCCTTGGTACAGTTTCTCCCAAAAATGATAATTTTCCGATGAAGTTAAGTCTTACATGTTCTATTATGTGTTACTGTGGAAGTGTCATCATGATTTTCATGGTTGTTTCTACATCAGTTGGTGATAAAAATATATATATAAATCTTTTGTATGAAAACATAGTGTAATGTTCTAGTATTTGTTTTGAATTGAATGGTTTGTGTTGTTTCTTGCCTGCGTCTATTTGCTCTGTATCGAATTTTGTTGTACACACTATACAACATTTAAACTTGAAGTTGTGGAGTAGCATTTACGTCACATTGTATTATTGACGACTTTGTTATTGTTATGATTTTGGCTTTCTTGATATTGACTATTTATCCTTCTCTTTTTTGAAGGTTACACAGTCACCTACTTTCTTCAAACTGCACGTTGGATCTTGCAAAAAGTCAAAAGTGTTCTTTTATGTCCGAGCAGGCTATTCTCTACTTAGGGTGGATTGGGTTGTTGGGTGAGTATTGTCCTATATCTAGGAAAAAGACCCCTTTCTTGTCGGAAACAGTTGGCTGTATGCATCGAGCGCCATTCCAGGACCATAGAGATTTTATCGGTTGCTATTGGGTGCAACCTCTAGTCGCTGCATTTGACTGTTTTTCTAAAGACAGCTACACCCCTATAACTTCCTTGCTGTAATACCAAAGATACTGTTGAGTTTTTCTATACAGAAACTGAAAATGGCGTTGCAGAACATTGGTGCTGGCAACAGTGATGATGCCTTCTATAGGTATAAAATGCCCAAGATGATAACAAAGATTGAGGGCCGTGGAAATGGCATCAAGACAAATATTGTCAATATGGTTGATGTTGCTAAGGCTTTGGCAAGACCCCCTTCTTACACAACCAAATATTTTGGATGTGAGCTCGGAGCCCAATCCAAGTTTGATGAAAAAACCGGTGTGTCCCTTGTGAATGGGGCCCATGACACAGCAAAACTTGCAGGGCTTCTAGAGAACTTCATCAAGAAATATGTTCAGTGTTATGGTTGTGGCAATCCGGAGACCGAGGTGTTAATCACGAAAACGCAAATGGTCCAACTGAAATGTGCTGCATGTGGTTTTATTTCTGATGTGGACATGAGGGACAAACTCACGTCATTCATTCTGAAGAATCCTCCGGAACAGAAGAAGAACTCGAAAGATAAAAAGGCCATGAGAAGGGCTGAAAAGGAGCGGTTAAAGGAAGGCGAGGCGGCTGATGAAGAACTGAAGAAGCTGAAGAAGGAGATTAAAAAGAAGGGGGTTTCTTCTTCCACTTCCAAAGATGTGCACCCGGTGAAATCCACATCTTCAAAAAAGAAGCCCAGTGGTTCTGATGAGGATCGGGCTTCGCCAACGCTAAGCCAGACTGGTGACAAGGAGGATGCCAATGAAGAAGATGACGATGACGTTCAATGGCAGACCGACACGTCAGCAGAAGCGGCACGGCTACGCGTCCAAGAGCAGCTTAGTGCTGTAACGGCTGAGATGGTGATGCTAGCCACGGAGGAGCCAGTGAAAGCAGCAACTACTAAAGCTGTGAATGGCAAGACGACCCATGAGACACTTGTTGGTAAGGCTAAAGAAAACCTCAAAAATGGAATCGCTCCAAAAGAACTAATGTCATCGCTTACTGGGTCCCGCCAGGAAATAATGACGGCTCTCTATGAAGCTTTATTTGATGAGGTGGAAAAGGGGTTTGCAAAACAGGTTGTTAAGAAAAAGAAGTATCTGGTGGCTGCTGTTTCGGATGGTGAGGATTCACAAATGCTTCTTCTTCGGGCAATGGAGGAATTCTGTGGGAAGTCAAACCCGATTGCAGTGAAGGAAGTGCCACTTGTTCTGAAGGCGCTCTATGATTTGGATGTGTTGGAAGAAGAACACGTGGTTAAGTGGTACGAAGAGGGTCTGAATGGAGGGAATAAGAGCTCTTTGATCTGGAAGAATGCAAAGCCTTTTGTGGAGTGGCTTCAGAGTGCCGAGTCTGAGACAGAGGAGGAATGACTGAATGGACGAGTCGTTTTGGTATTTGGCTGAATAATTGGTATGAACTGGTTTTGAGGGTGAGTTTTGAGTTGAGAGTTGTTTTGTTTTACGATGTTTTTGGATTGTTGATGTGTACCGCTTCTGGTTTGATGATCTTGTTTGTCAACCTGGTATTGTGTCGATAAGTCCAGTCGCAATCTGGTCTTCTTTTTTCTATGTTTTGAGACATGCTAATAGCAACGCTCATCTCCTTGAAAGTTTTGGTGATCAAATTCAGGGTTGTTTGTTTGTTTGTTTTTCAACCAAGGGGTGTTTGGGATTGCTTATTGACTTATTTCGTTGTGGTATTGGTAATAAGTTGATTTTAGTGTTTGGATGAGGGAAAAAGAAAGATGCTAATACCGGTGTCAAATCGGTTGTAAGAAGTTTTTGATAAGTTACTCTTCTTTAACTTATCAGATTCAGCTGCTTAGGTTTGAAAACCAATTTACCTTTTTAATCTTCATAAGCCTCCTTCCTTTAACCAAAAACTCTCTGAAATTGATCAAGGGACCTTCGATTTATGCTTCACCATTCCTCTGAAATCATAGCAAGGAATGGAAAAGAAATCACAAGTCTGCGTCGATTCAAAACATCTCTTCCAATGAGTTTATTCGACTGAATCCTCGACGAAGATAATATAGAAGGAACAAATAAAGAAACAGGGGGTCTTAGAAGAGGAGCAGTGAAGAAGCGAGAATTGGTCACGGTGAAGCATAAATTTATCAAGGGACTTTCGACCATTTCAAGATTACTTTCTGAAAAGGGGTTTAGGGTTCTTCTTTATGTAAGCGACCTTCAAACACAGTTTCTCCTTCTTCATGTCTTTTTTGGTCATTTTACATGTATAAACAAAATTTGCCAAACACTAAAAAAACAACTTATTACGTTTTTGGTACCGCTATAAGCTAATCCAAACACTTTTTATAGAACTTCGATTTAACACCATATAAGTTGATAATCACTTTAAAAAAAACTTTAAGTCGTTTTTAAATAAGTAAATCTCAAACACCCCTTGAACAATGTTTGGATTATGCAGTGTGTAGTTAATAATCATGGTTTTTAAACGCGTAAAAAATATAGAATAAAATTTTCATTTCTTTATTTCAGAAATTATGTAAAGTTAACATGTTCAAAAATTGAATTGTTATATAAGAGTCGATGCTATTAACCATTGCAATCAATTAAAACAATCGGGGAGTTGATATGACCTAAATTTAGGCATGAGAATGACACCCGTTAAATTAGGGAATTTAGTGTACCTGACGGGACGGGGATTCCCTGTAAAACCGGGGATCGGGGATAAAAATCCCCGAAAGTTAAACATCGGAGATGGGGACGGGGACGTGTAACATGGTCCCCGTCCTATCCGGTCCCATCCTGTCTCGTCCCGTCCCGTCCTTGAATATTAAATATGTTATATATACTTATTATTAAATATATTATTTATAAATAATTAGCTTTAATATCTTTTAGATTGAGAAATAGTATTTTTTACATTTATTTTTATATACATTTTTTAAGTTGTCTTACTTTTTTTAGATAAAAAAACATTGAAAGTCGATATCGTTTGATCAAACAATTATGTATGTGACGTGATGTTCATATATGAATATTTGATACTCTATAAAAGCAAATTTGAAAATATGTGAGTTTTAAGCATGGACCATTATCGATTGAGTTTGACGTTTAACACATTTGATTTAAATATCATTAAACTCTGATTCTACTTACACATTCAAAAATCCATCAGTTTAAAAAAAAAACAAACGATCTTTATGGTTATGGATTTAGATTTCAACACTAATGAACAAGAGGTGAAATAAGATGCATTAATGCCCTTGAAGAATGGTTTGTTGATTTGCCACTTATACTATTTCATGGCCACGAACGACCTTCTTCATGCCCGTGAAGGGCTTGATTCACGCCCATGAAGGAAGTGGCGAAGCAAATTTGGTGTTGCTTTTTCATACTGGCGAAGGAAGTGAAAATCAAAATCCCAACTTTTTAGCATCCAGATTGAGTCGGGATGCGCATCCATGTCTTGGTGTAAATACCACCCTTGGGTTCCTATCCGGAAACACAAAATTTGTGAGAAATACCAGTTTTAGTGAGTTATTCATGAGCTGCTAACCACTTTTCTATGGTTTTGGTTTATAACTCCGTTTCAGTTTTCATGTATTTTTTCATTAATAAAGTTTCATCCTTTCGTGTGTGGACATACACCGTCATGCCTTTGTAACCACGTTAATTGTGAGTGTTACTGCTTTGCATTTTGTTAATTGTTTATTTTTGCTTATGGGTTATCATCCTTACAAATCAATGTTGATCATTCAATGTTAGATTGATGGTTATTATTACACATCATATCTAGTTGATAAAGTTTGATGCTTTATTATTTATTTGATAACGATATGGTTGTGATATGATACCTAAATCCTAACAATAACAACACTTCATCTCGTCAAACGATATATCCAAAATATTAAGCATTAACTGATCCTTTATAAATCAAATACAACATATCATAATAAAAACTTGTCGTTATATGTATATATTTTAAAATATGAATTCCATAACATTGTTATATATATATATATATATATATATTAAAACATGAAGGTGGAGGTTCAAACGAGAACACATTCATTTTACGAGAACACCACTATCACATGTAATAATACAAGTGAGGAGATCATGTGATGTGCAAACGACGTGTTCTACGACTTAGGCCGTGCCAAAGGTTGTCTGCGTCTATGATTTAGCATCACATGTGATGGTATTTGATAAATTATAGTATCATATCAAACAACAATCTTATCACATGTGATAATACTTGTGAGGAGGCTTAGTGGTAGGAGGACTTGGCCCGCAACCAAGATTGCATCGAAAATCATCTGTGTCTCTGATTTAGTATCACATGTGTATTATATGTGATGAAATAATAGTATCACATGTAATTGTTTATAATAAAAGGATATTCTCATAATTTTCATAAAATAAAGATGTTTTCGTTTGAATCCTTCTCATGCGAGAGATAAAGATCCCATACGAGTAAAAGTATGCCAGGATCTTAACTTATTAATTGCAAATGAGTCAAACTCTTTAATAATTACAAAATAATTCAACAAATTGTTTTGAAAGTAGGAATTAGTCCCCCACAAATACGGGTTGACTTGATACAAAATGCTACCATTTACCCAAAATTAAAAAGTCAACTCAAAATCCTGGTACATTGACTTTAATTATCTTGATATTTATTATTATTATTATTATTATTATTATTATTATTATTATTATTATTATTATTATTATTATTATTATTATTATGATGATGATGT